TATACATACTAATTTGACCTAATTTTAAAATAATACTTTTTAAAAATAGATTCTCAGATCTTTATTCTAACAAATTATATTACTTGAAAGCACTACCCAAGCAGAAAGTTCAATTTTTTGTTATTTTCTTTGATTATGATCCTAATAAAAGAGACTCGAAAAATGAAATAAAAAGGTTATGTGAGATATTATTAAAAGTCCCAATAAGCCCCTCTTTAAAAGGTGAAACCCTTCAGAGATCATTTCTCCTTGTCACTCCTTTGTCTATCAGCAGCTGCAGTGACTCGTAGGTTATTGTAATTCTTTAGTGCCTTGAAATTAAAGGCAAAAAGACAGAAAAGCTACTGAAGTTTCAGAAACTTGTGTTTCATAACAGGGATATACTTGGGTACTAAAGCAAGAATAAAGAAACAATTCCAAAATAATTTCTCAATTTAAAATAATAGCATTTCTCTTGCACAGAAGAATGGCATCTATAGGATTCTCTATTTGTCTGGCTTTTAGATGTATGTTTTGAGGAGTAGATTCATAATGTTGCATTTAATTGAAAGCACATATTTCTATCATGGTAAAAACACTACAAACAGTATGATTCCTATATAACCTTTTCAAAATTGGTCAACTTGGTAACTTGTACTGACAATAATATGAGAAGTATGTTGAAGGCAGTTTAGTGTGATTATTTGAAAGTTTTACTTGAGAGCATCACCATTTATTTGCATTTTAAACTTCCTGTACTTTCATTAATCAGGTCACTTATTACTCAAGTCAGCTTTTTTGAGTTTTGTACATGGAACCCACCTAGCATTCTACTTCAGATATAAAATTCATAACGACCTAAATGTGATAGGCAGCTGAAATGTAAGGAAAATCAACACAAGGAGACAGATGTAAATTTTGAACTGGATTTTAGAGAAAAAACTCATTTGTATATCTTTTTGGTTTCTTTTATAACATTTACATTTCTTTATTTAAAAAAAAACTAAACTCATACTTTTGCCATCTTTTTAAAATACATCTGATTTGAGAATAAATTTTTTTTAAATTTGTGGTTACTGTAGTATACAATAATCACTGAGCCCATTTAATTAAAATAAAGTAATTTTGAAATTAAATATTTAATGAAGCAGAATTCATGTTTTATATATCTCAAAAATTAATTTGTATTCTTAAAGGATTCTAAAAATACTTTAAAAGAAGTTTTGTAAATCCAGGTGGCTTTTAACAGCTAAATGTCTATTTTGTTATATGCTGCATTTTTATTAATATATCATAAATTATGACAATTTCAACAATAAACATAATTTATATTAGTATGCTGTTTTTTCTTGTCATTTGATAAATTTAAATTATTTCTTTGGGGTAATAAAATAATAGAAAGCTTTTAAAATATAATTGTTGAAAGACATTTTAGTCGATAGATTAAAATAATTTTTTTGCTATTTTACATGGAAAAAATTTGCAAAAGTTTTCATATATGTGGGAAATAATTTAAAGACAGTTAAAAATCAGATATCATCTTATGATTCTCTATGATTTGATGTCTGTCATTTGTTAAGTTAAAGCTGACCAAAAGATATGTTTTTACTTATATGAAAGATAATTCTATATGCCTCTATATGTAAAATGCATATATAACATGTACAATCCTATATAATAAAACCCTAATAAGCAAATCGACTGAATGGCGGAATGACTGTCAGAATGATCAGTCACTATGACTCGCACTGACCACCAGGGGGCAGATGCTCAACACAGGAGCTGCCCCCTGGTGGTCAGTGTGCTCCCACAGGGGGAGCACCGATCAGCCAGAAGCCAGGCTCATGGCTGGCGAGCTCAGTGGCGGTGGCAGAAGCCTCTCCCGCCTCTGCTGCAGGCGGGAGGTAAGGAGCGAGGGGTCCTGGACTGCAAGAGCCCCAGACTGCGAGAGGGCGCAGGCTCGGCTGAGGGACACCCCCCACTCCAGTGCACGAATTTCATATGCCAGGCCTCTAGTATTATATTTAATTGATTTCAATTATAATACTGTATGGAAACAACATTAGAAAGAAGTGTTGCAAAATGCTAATAATATCTGTTTTAGAGTTATTGGTTGTGTTTTTTCCTCAAATTTTCAAACTAATTTTTGTAATTTTGCTTACTTTTATAATAGGAAAGAAAATTTGAAATTTTTATGCAAGTTTAAAATTAAATACTCTTTTAAGTGTCATATGAAGGACTATATAGAATTCACTTAATATGTAAAACTTCCTGTCAGTAGCTCAGAAACATTCAACTGTAGAATATGCCAGTCAGTATATTTGCAGTTGATTTCTTACTAAGTGTTCTTTTACTAAGACAATATTTTAGTTTACTTAGTTCTATATGCCAAGCTATTTATATTATTCAATTTATCCCATTCCACACTAAAGAAACCAATGCTTCCAGGTAGCAAAAATTTATCAAAACTGAAACTGAAGCTGTAACTTATAAATTGTAATACCTTTTGCTATAAGTTTTTCTATAAGAGGAGTATATGTTGCAAATCAAATTCTGTTAATAATGACTACTTAATTTACCAAGAAATATAGTCCAAAAAAAGAAAAAATATATATATAGTCCAGCTCATTCAAAGAACAAAAAATTCAGATATTTCAAAATGCATATTAAAATGTGGTATAAAATTAACAAAATAGTGATAATTCTATAGCTTTGTGGAAGCAGAATAGAAGCCCTCTTTTGAGAAAAAAATAGGAAATCATAAATGAATTTCCTTTAATAAGGGGATTAGCTTATAATTAAAGGAAAATCAGGACAAAAATCATTTGCATGTTTAGAACCTGAGTTGTAAATTTCTTCTGTGTGCTGATGAGGAAACAGAATATATGACTTAGGGAATGAACCAGTGGTCTTCAAATTTTAAAATAATGCATCCCTTTCAGTAAGCATTTTGAGTATACATAACAAAGTACCACAGACTGGGTGGCTTAAATAACTGCAATTTATTTTCTCATAATTCTGAAGTCTGGAATGCCAGGTCAAGGTGTAGGGATGGTTTCTTCCGGAATCTCTCTTCCTTGGCTCACAGATGGCCTCCTCCCTGTGTCTTCACATGGCCTTGTCTCTGTGTAGGTTCTCTCCTCGTGTCCAAATTTCCTCTTTTTATAAGGACTCTAGTCAGATCCACCCTAACGACCTCCTTTTAACTTAATCACCTCTGGAAAGACCCTTTTCCAAATATGTCACATCCTGAGGGACTGGGAGTTCAGGGCTTTAACATATGAATTTTGAGGGGATACATTTCAGCCGGTAATAGTTATATGCGTTGGTCTATTGTATTTCATACATATATCCCCCTAAACATTTTTTAAAGATTAGATAAAATTAAAATACAAGTTATTACATTTACTTCCCACTGCCAGTGGGTTGTCTGCTGGGATTTGTACACATGGCTTTGGAAGCCTAAATTGAGAGCCTCAGCTAACAAACTGCTCACCTGAAGTCCAAGTCCAAGTGCCTGTAACTATGCAGTTCTCCTGCTTTGATGGAAGGTGTCTCCTGTGTTTTTCTGCCATCTTAATGTTATCTTTTTTTAAAAAAATATTTTTATTGATTTCAGAGGAAGGAAGAGGGAGAGAGAGATAGAAACATCCATGATGAGAGAGAATCATGGATCGGCTGCCTCCTGCAAGTCCCTCACTGGGGATCGAGCTCACAACCCGGGCATGTGCCCTTGGCTGGAATTGAACCGGGACCTTTCAATTCGCAGGCTGACGCTCTATCCACTGAGCAAAACCGGCTAGGCTTAATGTTCTCTTGATGTCAGATTGTTTTACTATAAAGTCTATCTTTACTTTTTGACACATAAACCTCTATATAAACATGAAGTTTTTGGAGAGATGTCTTATGTAAATATGAATATCCATAAACAGTATAGGAGAGTCTATGAAGTATACTTATTCTGAAACATTTCTTAGATAAATGACTTCACAATAAAATTGCTTAAGATTGTAAAAAAAAATACTTTCCTGTTTAGTAGTAACTTAAGATGTATTCTAGAAAGTGAATATGCTTTGTAATTTAAGCATATTCACAGTGCTCATTTCACTTCTTAATACTATATATTTTTTTACGACCAAATCTAAATTTATTTTTAGATTGCTGGAGAACTTGTTTAAATAAATAAATTAAGCTTCAAATCACATTAGTGGTAATAACATTTACTTGTTTACATGGTCCTAAGATTTGCACCTATAGTCTACACACCTACACTGATACTTTGAGTGTCAAGCGCCTCAAAATCATGATGCTCATTAAATATCAGGGATCACATTAAGCACTGGTTTTCTCTGTTAGGCTGCTGATTGCTGTTACAAGGGAGCAGCTGAAAAGTAGCCTTTAAAGAACAAACAAACTGCGGCCCCTCACCTGAGAACCGGTAACTCCGCCCCTAGCACAGGTGGGGGCCGGGCCGGTGTGGGGGTCATTTTGACCTTCAGGCATTTGGTATCAGAACTTGATAATCATAAAGATCATGATAGTGAAAATAACGCCCAGCAGCAGCTAACATTCGAGCGTTTACTGATTCCTAGCCTTTGCGCTAAGCGCTCTACTTGTTTATTTTAATCAATTCGATCATGTAACCCTCATTAAAAGAAAAAGATTACCCCATGGGCCATCTCTAGGAAATGTGACCATTTCTCTTTCACCTTATCCATCCTTTTATCCTGAGTTCTGCGTATCTGGGCTAACGGAGACGAAATGAGATTTGGTAGATTGATTCGGCAACTAGCTTCGCCTCTGAGAACATTTAAAAACAATTTTTACGGAGCCCCAAGAGCACAAAAAATGTCGGCTCAGCGCCCGGCCGGGGTTCTAAGGCGGGTCCGCCCAGGGGCCCGGCCACGCCCCCAGGGGTAGGCTCCGCCCCTCCAGCCGCGGATGGGAGGAACTCCGCGAGTGCCTCTCGCGGGACCTACGCCACTTTGGCGAGATTTCGATAACACTGGCAAAGCAGTAACTCGCGAGAAGTTGAAAGTACGTCAAGGAAGGGAATTCCGGCGGAACGCCGAAGCCGTGCGCTTTTGGTTCCCTGGTGCTTTAGATGTTGGACGGTGGAGACCTCTTGTTTGGCATCTCCTGGCGGGATGATGTTGGCCCGGGTGAGGGTCGGGCCGGACGCTTATGGAAGGGCCTGGGCGGGGCCGGAGGGGGCTGGGACCGGGGAACTGGGGGGATCTCCGGGCTTCTCTGGTTTCACTGCCCACAACGCTAGCTCGTGAGCGCTGCCCGTGGTTTTCGCCCAAGACGCACCTCCGCCGCAGGTAACCTGTGCTCCCCGCGCGCGGAGTGCAGGACCTGCGCCCTCGGCTGAGCTGATGGCGGCTCCTCGGGGGCGGGCGCCGTCGCCCCGCTCAGCCCTGGGAGCGCAGAGCAGTGCCGGTTACTTAGTCGGCCTTCCATAAGCCTTTCCTGGACGCGTAAATGAAACAGAATTGCAAGGAAGTCTCCGAGGAAACCAGTGACTTTTCTTCTAAATGAGCTTTATTTCGGAATAACTTTACATTTACCAAAAAGTTCCTAAGATGATACAGACTTCCCATATGCATCTCCCCCAGCCCCCCCTAATGTTAACATCTAAAATGACTTGCCTCCGTTGGCTTTCTGCGTTAACAGCGCTAGACTCTGCTTTTGCCATTGCTGTACATCGGAGCCATAGTCGACTGGAGAAACACTTTTTAAAACCAGTAGGCAGAGCAAGCACGGTAGTACAGTTTGCTCGTGTGTGAGGTGCTGCTCCCATTGCAAGAACTGGTAATTATCTGAAGTGCCCTTAAGAAAAAAGATTGCTAATGTGCAAGTTCAATAAATTTGTAATATCAAAGGTGTGTCAGCAACTTTTTCTTATCATCATAGCTGACAGCAAAACCAGAGAGGAAGCTTGCCAAACAGCTTTGCAAAGTGGTACTGGACCATTTTGACACACAGTATTCCAGAGAACTTGGAGATGCCTGGAGCGCAGCAAGGTTAGTCCAATTCACCTCTGAATTGTTCAGTTCTCTGCCAGAGAATAAGAAGGGAGCCGTCGTGGGGGAGGGCGCTGTGAGGATGAAAGAGAGGAGTCTAACCTTGGCTGCGATGTCTATGGAGGCTGCAGAAGGGAAGGGCCAGGGGGAGATGGATTAGGTCATAGGGACACAGTAAGGGAGGTAAAGCTGCAGTGACAGCAAACACAGTTGTTATGCCCTGGCCTTCAACAGTTGCTTTGATCTTTGAAACAGGCATGCCCACCAATTTGACAAAATTAACTATACTGTAACAAATCCCTCTTAAGCTTTTGAGGATATTTGACCTGTTTCTGAAATTCAGAAGATAATACAGCACATCTTTAAAGCCAGCACTGCTTTATCTTTGTTAAAGTTAGTTTTTTTTTTTTTTTTGGCAATCATATTTCTTCCCTCTGTATGGCCAGCGATATTTTGAACACACGTGGGAGCTTGCGCACACATATAGACACAGATTTCTTAAATGTATAGTAGAAAACAAGCATTGAACCCGTAGAAGTAAGTGAGGGAAGTCTGGTTTGTATGTTCAGTGAGTTTTTCTTTTTCTGGAATGTTACTCTCTGGGCTCTTCATAATGAGCTCTTCACATACCGTGCCCTGTGGGATGCAAAGAGCAAGACAGTCCCTGTGTTCACTGCGCTTTTAGTCTGTGGTCACGGGGGAGAGGGGACATGGTTAAAGCTCTGTAAACCTCTAATTCCGTAAGTATCCTGATAGAAATAGGCAGAGTACCTGGGCTTATCTGACGGTGCCAGCAAAGGCCTGAGGAGCAGTCAGGTCTTGGTGACTTATATACAGTAGGTCCTTGGGTTACGTCGGCAATCCATTCCTAAGGCGCAGCATAATGCGATTTTCTCCGTAAGTTGAACCCACCTACATAAGCACCTACGTCACTCATATGGAGCACATACACAGCAGTAATGAGTGAAACAGTAAAAAAAATTTAAAAGAAAGATAATTCCTGACCTTTACTTGTGGTAAATAAATAATAAAAAACATAAAGCACATATGTACATATGTCAAAATGATGGAACTTTTTTTTATATAAATAAATGGGAGATGGCGATGTAACCACGAAACGACGTACGTCGAGTCCGACGTAACCCGAGGACTGTCTGTAGTTACCTTGGCAAAAGGAGCCAGGCATTTTAGACGGAGGGAAGAGAGCATTGCTTGTGAAGTTAGGGACAAAAACCTGGTGCGTTCTGCTCAGGGAAGAAAAGTGACACAGCTATAGATAATATCTGGAACTTGATCAGATGGCTGTCTTAGTCATCTCTTGTTGGATCAACTCAGTAGCAGTTCCTTCTATACAAAGGAAGTTTAAAGCACTTTTTAAAACAAAGATTAAGTCTGAGGTGATTGTGAGATAATTTTAGGACAAATTAAGCAGGTTTTATAACTTGTAAATACTGTAATATGAAAATGTACTTTATTTTTGTGCTTTTTATTTCAAAACTAGTTTTTAAAATGGGTATTTTCTGTCACAGAATAAATGAGAAAGAATGGATAGTGAAGTGAACAGTAAATTCATGAGGTTTTCAGTATGCAATGTATTGACCCAAGTAACCAAACTCCTGTTGCATGCTTATTACGTGCCGCCCAACACTAACTGTGATCCTCAGAGTGAACTTAGGAGGTTTGTTTCCCATTTTTCAAGCCTGAGGAAACTGGATGGAGTTTAAGTAACTTTCCTAAGTTCATCCATCTAGTAAGTGGCAGAGCTGAGATTTGCGTCCAGGCTCTGACTCAGGAACTCCCACTGCCAGCTTCTATTCTGTATGCTTCTCATACCTGTGATGTGATTATACATACATGGATGGTTTTTTAAAAACCACAGATTTCAGGAGGTATATTGTCTTCAGACTTTATAGTAATCTGGCTGCCCATACCCTGTAATGAGTTATTTTTGTATTTAATATGCTCAGACAAATTTATAAAGTATTACTTGACCCTAAACAAAATGAGCAGTGAACCTCAAATCCATTTAATTAGCTATGCCTTCTGCTTCATCTACCTTTTTGTTGGGTTTTCATGGTAATTTAAGTTTTGCATAAACATGTGCTAAATTTGCCATAGGCAACATAAAGGCTTTCTCAGCTTAGAAAGTAGTCTGAGCATGAAAAATAGCATGGGGGAAGAAAAAAATATTTTTGTTTTTTGACGGTTTATTTGCAAGACATAATGTTGTGTACAATCTAGTTTGCAGTCTACGTCCTGGGAAAGGCGAGGGTATTTTAGTCCTACCTAGAAAGTAATTTGCTCAATATTTTCAGTTTCCTGTGGTAGAGGAGAAGATTTAGTATTTATTTTAATTTTATTGTTTTGTAATGAACACTCTTGCACAGTCACCCTCTGAGCAACCCTCTAAGTTGGAGTTTACCCTGGTTCCGTTTTTGCTCTACCTGTTGCCTGCATGTTCTCCTTCAGTGAGGCCCCTCATGGCATGTCTATAAACTTCCCTCACTGTGCTGTCATTTCAAGCTATCCAGTCCTTCCCAAGCTTCAGTCCCATACTTCTAGGTGTTTTCTGGTAACTTCACTTAGTTTTATGCCAAGCAAACTCAAAAGCATATTATTATTTTTCCTTTCCAATTCTTTTTTGTTATTTGCTACTTGCAGACTTTATCTCAGTTGAAGGCATCGCATCCATCTAATGTCCACTCTTTTCCACACCTTCACTGCCTTTGCAGTAAAGAATGACCTTTACTCAAAAACAGGACTGGCATTTTCCCTCAGATCCTTAGAGGTGGTCTCTAAGTCCTTGCCATACCCTGCCTAAGAGTGTCTGTTTTCCTGGGGGCTTAAGTCACACAGTAAAGTCTAACAATATGATTTATGGTGAGGGCTCTGGGCCACAACATCAGCTTGGCCTGTGACCTTTGATCTCCAACCTCTGGAGGGGCCAGCAATCAGCCACATAAGGCTGTCTATCATCTCTGTATGGCTGAGGCAAAATAAAATGTAGACACTGAGGCTCTGGTGAGCCTCCATAGTTGCAGTACTCCTATGCGTATTATCACACATTGTGGCAAGGAAAAGTTATCCTTACCCATGTTTCACACACTTGCCACTGGAAGCTTCATGCTTTGAAATTTTCTGTCCTCTGCCTCATGCATTTCTTACCTTGACTGATTTTAATCCATATCTTTTTGCTGTAATAAACCATAACCATAAGCGTGACTACAACAGTGAGTTCTGTGTGTTCTCCTAGCTAATAAGTAAACCTGAAAGTGGTCATGGGGACCCTGATCTTATAGTTGGTGTCAGAGCTTAGGGTGGTCTTGGAGATTCCCCTAGGTCAGCCGTGGGCAAACTACTGCCCGCGGGCCGGATCCGGCCCATTTGAAATGAATAAAACTAAAAAAAAAAAAAAGACAGTACCCTTTTATGTAATGATGTTTACTTTGAATTTATATTAGTTCACACAAACACTCCATTCATGCTTTTGTTCCGGCCCTCCGATCCAGTTTAAGAACCCATTGTGGCCCTCGAGTCAAAAAGTTTGCCCACCCCTGCCCTAGGTACTACCACACACCACTACCCTGCCCCCATCCAAGTCTAAATGCCCACCAAATACTTTTGTTCTACCTGAGAAATTTCTTAATTTAGATCTCCCTTTGTCTCCACTGTTACTGCTTACTTAGGTCTTCATCCTTTCTTACCTGGCTTATTACAACAGCCACCAGCATCGTCTCCCACTTGTAGTATTCATCTGCTTGCTTATTTTAGCAAGTACGACATGCCAAGCAATGTCCTAACCACTGTATACATAGTAATATAATCCTTTGTACAAAATTCTGGGGTAGTTACTATTACTTTCATTTTACAGATAGGAAAGCTGAGGCACACAGAGCTTAAGTAACTTGCCCAATGATATACAGCTCACATTTGGAAGAGCTTTGGGAGTGTGTCTTACCCACTCTGTCAGGCCGTTTCTTAATGGACCGTACTCCATTGTGTCACTACTAGAGTACAGCCTCCTTTGCTCCTCGGCTGTTTGCATTGTTAAGACTAAATATTTATCATGACTAGACAAGAGTCCTTTATCCTTTAGGTCCTTTTCCCTCTGCCAGGAATGAGCTCCCTTCTTCCTCTGTACAGTGGTCAAAGTGTGGGTTCAAATTTCACTTCTGCATGTTACAGCATATGACTTAGCAAAGAGACTTAACATCTCTGTGCCTCACCATTCTTCTCTGTAAAATGGGAAAAAATGGTACCTATTTCATATAGTTATTTGGGAAAGTAAATGAATTACACACACACACACACACACACACACACACACACACATATATATATATATACTATTCTAAGCCATATATATATGGCTTAGAATAGTATTTGACATATGGTATGCCCTTGATATGTGTTAGTGTTCTTTTTATTATTGTTACTGTGATTATAACCAGTTCTCCATCAAGCTGTCTCATATACCCTTGGCAAAATTAGTTCTACCCTTTGTGTTTCCATTGCAATTTATTGACACAACTGTTGTAGTTCTTTCAAGATTGAATTGTCATAATTTAGTAACTTGCTGTCTCTTCCCTGCCAAGGGAGGGTCTTTAAGAACCAATACCTTAAGATTTGGGCAGGTCATCTACTTATTCACAATTTAGGCAGTGTTTATATACCAGGCATTTTGCTAAGCACTGGGGATACAATGATGGATTATATATTCTGCCCTCAAGTATATATGAGGGGAGGATTAATTGGAAATGTTACAAACTTTGGGAATTTTGAGGGCACTTTGTAGAAAGCTTGGGGTGGGGGTGGTGGGCAGGGAAGCCTCTGTTTAGCCTGGCCTGTCTGTAAATATTTTTTATTTGGATACTGTCTTCACTAACCCAGCATTCACAGAGTTCACATTTAGAGGGGAAACTATTATATAACCAGATTGCATTACCAGAATCTGAAGAGGGAGGGGAGTGGAGTGGAGTGAGGTAGTTGGGGGAAGCAGA